GTCGGGTCAGTGGCAACAAGATTTTCTTCTACGCGATCGCGAAAATGCTTCCGCGATCGCGATTCACAATACCCAAAAAAGCAAATTGCTCTTCACGAACGCGACCCATAGTCAGTGATCGCGATGCACACCCCTGTGACCAAAAACTAACAACTAAAAGTGGCCTAGAAATGGTCCGAAACCACCCCGAAATTTACCCGAGTCCCTCGGGACCCCGTCCGAACATACCAGTAAGTCTCAAAACATATTACGGACCTACTCGAGGCCTCAAATCACATATATTAACATCAAAACCACGAATCGTCAATCAATATCATTCTCTTAAGTTCATAAACTTCAAATTTCGAACCAAGCGTCCGATTCAAGCCTAACCAATCCAGAATGAATCCAAATTTTGCATACAAGTTCCAAATGACATAACGAACCTATTCCAACTCCCGGAACAACAATCCAAACCCGATAACATCGAAGTCAACTCCCGGTCAAAGTTATGAACATTTCAAACCTTTAAATTTTCAACTTTCGCCAAATAGTGCCGAAACCTTCTAGAAACACCCGAAATAAAATTCGGCCATACGCCCAAGTCCAAAATAGCCATCTGGACCTAACGGAACCGTCAAAACTCCATTCTGGGGTCAAGTACATAAAAGTCAAACTTGGTCAACTATTCCAACTTAAAGCTTCAAGCATGAAATTCATTCTTCCAAACTAATTCCGAATCACCCGAAAACCAAAACCGACGATACACATAAGTCATAATTCATCGTATAGAGCTACTCATGACCTCAAACCACCAAGCGAAGTGCAAATGCTCAAAACGACTAGTCGGATCTTTACAATTAGTGGTTAATGTTGGGTTCACACTACTCTTTTGTCCCTCTTAGAGGGTGTTTGGCTAAGCTTATAAGTTGGTCAAATTAGCTTATAAGCACTTTTCGGCTTATCTACGCATTTGGCAAAGTTGAAAGTGCTTATAAGTCAAAAATAAGCCAAAAGCCATAAGTTGGTCACCCCCAGCTTATGAATTTTTAGCTTATAAGCACTTTTCGGCTTATCTACGCATTTGGCAAAGTTGAAAGTGCTTATAAGTCAAAAATAAGCCAAAAGCCATAAGTTGGTCACCCCCAGCTTATGAATTTTTAGCTTATAAGCACTTTAAGTTTGATCAAGATTTTTGCCTCAAGTGTTGTTTCAACCAATCCCCCCCTCTCTTTAAGTCTGCAATGCTCATTGGCTCTTTAAGATAGGCAAATCTCTATTCCTTTGCATATTTGTATCTATGTGATTGTGTATTAATCTTTGAACTGTTGTAATAAGGACATATTAATTTTTTTTGTGTATTGCTTTCTAAGTGTTGAGGTGATGAAGACAATGTTTGTTTCTTTTCAAATATTTTGTCCTATTTAGGTTTATTTTTTGCTGAGAAACTTTTGTCAATTTATTAATTATTACAATAACTTATGATTATATGCTTATCATAAAATAAATTATATTTATCATAAAAGTTATCTTATCTAAGCACAGTTGTATTTAAAATAAACTGACAAATAGAATATTTTGTATTCGGATCGATTTAGAATCTAAAATTTTGAAGAAATTACGCCCTTATAAGTGTAAACAGTTCTAAGGTTATTTAAGTCATTTTAAGAGAAAAAGAGTTTCTCAGCACTTTTTTATCAAATGTTGCAGCAACTTATTATCAATTTCAGCACCTGTATCCAAACACTTAATTGCTTATTTATTAAATTAGTTTCAGCACTTGAAAGTGCTTTTCAGCACAATGCTTATCAGCTACTTCAAATCAGCCAATCCAAACGGGCTCTTAGTGTCGGGCTTTATCTACCGGTTATTGTTTTACTTTTCATCTATTTTCTGGTTCTAGTAATGCTGTTATTTGTTCTATGGTTTCTATTGATGGTACTGATATATTGCTTCTTTTCGTCTTTTTGAGCCGAGGGTCTTTCGGAAACAGCCTCTCTACCCCTCGGGGTAGGGGTAAGGTCTGCATACACGTTACCCTCCCCAGACCCGACTAATGGGATTTCACTGGGTCGTTGTTGTTGTTGTTGTTGTAATAAAGAAATAACCTATAGCATGTTCTTTGTGCATAAACTGAATTTCGTTCATCCAAATAGTTAAAAATGTGGCAGGGAAGCGAGAATTGTAACTGCATTAGCATTCGTCTGAATGGTAGAAGATGAATGAAGTTTCAAGTTTGAATCATTTGTTGCTAAAGACCTCTAACCTCTGGCAGACACTAGGAATAACTTGAGAAGTGCTATCACCTTAGCATCTGGCCTTTTCCTAGGTGAAGCTAGTTTTGTAACAGATAATTGAAATGACTGTAGTTGGCATGTGTAGTAATTCCATAACAGTGTTCCTACTGCATTCTTTCTTACAATTAATGAAAAGAGTAACCAGTTGGTTGATTCACTACAGATCCATCATTGAGAAGCTTGGAAATGATAAAATGGCAAGGATAAAAATACTTGGAATGGAGGAGGTAAAGCAAAGTTTCTATGGCCAACTTGTATTTGGTGAAGGAGTGGCATCTGACCTAGGCGAGCAACTGGCTAAAGAAGCAAGAAAAGCAGGTAAATTGCCTCGGACAATCTGGTGAATTTTCATTGCATAAGCTGGTTGTCTCTATTTTACCATATCTCATTATAAGAAAGTACATACCTCTATATTGTTTTGGCCCAGTTTCTGCAGAGGAGCAAAGAATTGCTAAGGAGGTTGCTTCCATGCTAAAGTTGAGTGTGGACATTGATACTACTTCAAGTGAAGAGTTAGTCCTATCATTCTCTTCATTGTTGGTTTTTCTTTTTTTGGGTTGTTTTGATGGATACATCTTCAGTTTTACACCATATGACATCATATTACCTGGATGAAGATGCTTGATGGAACTTATCAAAAATCAATAAATCAACCACATTTAAATCTTTGACGTAGTTTGAGATATGCCAAAGGGAGAAAACAAATTATTTTCTATGAATTAACTCATCTAATCAGAGTTGTCAGGAAAAAAAAAACCTCTGGTGTAAAGAGATTCTTCTCCTTTTTTACTGGTAGATCATTTTAAACACGTAACAGGTTAGCTTCTTATTGATAACATTTGTGCTATTACAACCTTGTTACATGGACTAAGATACAAATATTGGCTGAAGGTTTTTATCTGATAGATGTAAGATCAGTTTTATGCAAGTTTTTACAGTGTATTCTGAAGGATCATGCCAAATCGTTGGTTTCGAAATCACATTGGCCAAACTAGTAGGTGATCTTTCTATTTGTTAAAGAGCATCTTTAAATCATAAGAACAACTGCTGAATCATTGGGGTTACACGGAATTGAATGCAACTACTAGATATTATTGTGGATTCATATGCTGACCTCCTTTCAGTGTATCATGAATTCACATGCTGACCTCCTTTCAGTGTATCGGGAATTCATATACTGACGGGGTACCTACTGCTGGTGGGACGTAGCAGGTATCATGTGAAATTAGTCGAGGTGCGCATAAGCTGGCCCGGACACCACGATTTTCCAAAAAAAAAAAAATCTGTTGTGAAATAGCCATATACCGATGTTGTACCTGTTGGACACCTGTATATCAAAGGAAAAATAAGAGTCCATGCAACATACTGGATCATATTGCTCGCGTTTGGAGCTATATGTAGTTCAAGCCAGAGTATTCAGAAATATTTGGGGACAATTAATCTGCAAATTCATGCATATTTGTATTGAGTGCATCGTGCAATTTGGCACACAGCAAGTCTGCAACAGTTTAGCTATTTAGTGGCTGGTAAATGTGGTCAAGTCTAATACTTTATCTTCATCTAATGTAGAATGAAGAATGTCGTGGCTGCACTACGGGCAGGGGCAGAATATGCCAATGTACCTGTGGATAATTGTGTGCTTGTTGCCGGAAGTCAATCTGGGGTTGCTGGAGCAGAGCGAATTGGCATGCCTTGCGTTGTGGTCCGGAGCAGGTAGATATTTCAATCAAAAATTTAAATACCAAAATCTTGAATGCAGTAGAAATACGTTCTGTCTTTAGCAGTAGGCAATTAACTCCCTCTATCCCAAACAAGTTGGGATCGGCTATATAAATCCTATGTAACCATTATGCTCTTTATCGGTTCATTTCATATCAGGACTAATTAATTTGTTCTTTTAAGGGAAATTAAGGGTTCCTAGTACTAGAGTTTCTCTAAATTTTGCCCTTATCCAACACAAACATACAAGTCTCTACCCAGAATAAAAGGACTCTTAAGAAAAACAGTGGACCTAACATAAGTTAACAACAACAAATAGTACTTAATTCCATGTTAGCTCATTTACTTTCTGATAATTTGCTTTCTAAATGTGCTGTTTAAATGTTATATTAGCATGAACGTTGATGGACATCTTTTTTGAAAAATAACATCCTTTTTGTTGATGTGTAAAAGTTCGACCGCCCGAGCTGAGTTTCCTGGAGCTAAAGCAATAATGGATGGATTTGGTGGTGGAGATCTATCGATTTCTAGGCTACGGCAAATACAGGGTCTTGATGTTTGATTCAAAAGCTAATTGCTTCAAAATTTTCAAGCGAGTGTAATTGTGATGCTGTAAAATTAGGTATATGAGATATGTACTATAAGTAAAATGCATTGCTCTAGCGGCCATTTACTTTCTATAGTGTACCATTTATTGAAATACTTCGCAATTTTGAGCTTCATTTTACCTCTAGAGTTTTTTCAAACACTCGGGTGTTATTCTTAATCTGAATTTGAGACCTTATGGTTTTCTAAGCCGACTTCATTGACCACTAGGCCACATCATTGGGTGCTTATCCATAGGTAGCAATGAAGTTATGAGTTTAAATTTTGACCTATAAAAAGTGTAATGCGTCTATCGATGGCTTAAAATGGGCACAACTCAAATCAACCCATAAAAAAGGTTGGGTGAATTGTTAGCTCAAATCATTCTATAAGAGAGCTTTGTTAATAAATAAAGGGAGGAAAAGCCAAATCATTTTGATTACATGATACAATTTTACTTTGCAGTGCAATTAAGCATTTTGGCAACTTAATTATACAGTTACAGGTTAAAGAAAACCAAAGGAAAAGTACTTAGCTAGTTCTAAGTCGAGACTTATGAGTTATTGCTTGTTACTCAACTATTCACACAATCAACGAGGGGGGAAAAAGGTGCTCTTACAACTAGGATATGCTTTCTGAACAAATCTCCTATACAGATATAATTTGCTAAGCATATCTACGAAAGTCATCCTTCATGAAATTACTCAAGGTTGAAGTATATGAATCTCCTACTACTCTGCAATACTCTTTCCACCACCGCATGAAGCTGCTTTGAGGCAAGAAAATCTCAGGAGATACCAAGAAGTTATTAATCATGTCCACTACATACTGCTCAAATTTGATCAGGTTTTCTCTAGCTGATTCTTGGTCTTGTGAGCTACTTGGTCCATCCCTCAACACTTCACAAGAAATCACAGCTTCCTCAACATAAGCCCAAAAGCAAGAATCAACCGTAAGACTAGAGGCTTGACTTCTCTGGTATGCATGAAGATTTTCATCAGTTAACCATTCCTCCAATAGTTTATAGTGTTCCGATCTTCCATGACTTGTATAATCTTTCTTCCCCCTACAGTAATACTCTGCTATGTCGAGTGGTTCAACCATCCTTCGGTAGTTTGTTCCTGCATAAAGCCAACGCTTTCGGAGATTTCTCCCCTCTTTCCAAGGCATCGTTTCTACTTCAACTACCATTCTTTTCCAGAACAGTTTCAAAGTTCTGTGATGCTTGATAAGCTGTTCTGTGCTTTCAATCTCGTCTCTGCTTCTAGAACGTCTGAGCTTATATTTGTCATAATACCCAGCCTCTTCCAAAGAGTTCTTCATGTACCATTCCAGGTAAGACATGGACTTTTTAAGTGTACTTAGTTTCTTGGAAGGATCAAAAATATTTTGCCTGTGTTTAGCCTGAACCTCTGCCCTTTTCGCAATATCCGTTGCAAGATAGCTCATGTCAACATCTTCCTGCTGCAGTTGCAGTTAGAGGCAAAAATATGAAGTATGGAGACCAGGAAAAAAAAAAAAGAGGACACTACAAAAGGAATAAACTATTCTGGAGTAATATAGCCCATTTAATCAAGAAACACAATTTTTTGCCTTGAGTTAATTTCATGTCCACAGCTTTCCTAGCCCACCAACAAACATAGCCTTATACTCCCATCAATGCTTCAACAGAATTCTTTCTTCACAACTTGTATATGCACCTGAATGACTAACTGTTTTTATCTTTCCCCAATTCATACTGTACTTCAGTAGGATGTTAATACTCATGCTCGTGATCCATCAAAGTGGAACAACACAATTTGAACAATTAGCAATTGAGTGTATTTACCTGTAACTTTCCAACTCCAGCTGCTTCTAGCAATAGGTAGGTTCCTGCTTGAAGTGGATTGCCTATTGAGTCAGGCAGTTCTACGATTCCCCTGCAAATAGCTTTGCTCCTTAGATGTTCCAAGATATGTCCATAATCAATAACCTGAGAGCAGTTGCTTGGGTTTTGACTTTCAGCACATCTTGAGCTCATTATCATCAACAACTCCAGAATCGATTGTGGTTCCTCGAAGCAAGAGAAACCTGATTCGGAGCAGAAGAGATAGATACCGAATGGCATGTAACAGGTCGGAGTAGTCAAGGTAGCAGCGGAGGCATTATGGTCTGACTCTGGGATCAGAAAACCTGGAATTGGATCTTTGTCTGAGACCACGTGCAAGAAGCACGAACTCCAGGCGGAACGCTCTGATATGGCTTTTTGAAAGCCATTGTTACCAAGAAGTGGAGAGCCAAAAGTAATGCAGAGGAGACGCTGCACGCCATATCTGGGAAGGCTATCAAGCAGCCACAAAGTGAATAGAGACGCAACAGATCCTCCCACAGAATGTCCAGTTACAATTAGAGGCTGGTGGCTGGTGAACTACATCGAAGCAAACAAAGCAAAAACGCCAAAATCAGTTACACATTTAAGAGACAATCCAGCCGACAGTATTACACTTCATTTGAAAATACAAACTGAAGAGGAATCATTATTATCTTTCCTCCATAACTGGTGTTTCGTTACTATTATTGTTGGTCCTCCCTACTAAAGAGGGATAATTAAACTTTAGCTACTTGTCTATTGAATACATTAGCGACCCCATTAGCAAGCTGAAGCGCATGTAGCCACACGCTAATATGGGTATAAACTCAAACAATTGATCTGCATTATGGTCTCAACGTGGACCCAAAACACGAGATAATTTTTTTTTATTTCCTATCTAACAGTTCTCTGGTTATCCATCGTTTCTAATCTCATTAAACTGTCTCCTCATAAACCTTCTCATAAAAATTCAAACCTTATAAAAATCATACCTTTTAAATGATTCCTTAATAACTTTAATCTGTATATTCTCTACATTAACACAAATTAAATGATCAAGTCAAGATTACATTTTCAATTGACTCCAGCTGACAAACAAATTGTTCCATTTCGGAAACACAGAGAATATATATTCAAAATTTCAAGTATGCGAATGCGCTAAGGCTCAATATACATGAAAGAAAAAAGGGAAATTATAACAATTTAAGGCAGCGTACCTGCTGTTTGAGAAGAGAGAGCTCATTCTCAAGAGAAGCAAAAAGGGTAAAAGCAGCTTTATGAAGGGAAACGGAACTGTTACTTTTAGTGCAGAGAAAATCAAAAGACGTAATTGCATCAGAAGAAACAAGCTCTCTAAACTCTTCTTCTTGCAACTGATTTACATCACAATTGGGTGAGCATACAAAAGCGATAATAGAACCCTTTGCTGGTGGATATTCATGAACTTGGTATTTAACAGAAAAGGGAAGAGATGGGTTCTGATCCACATCTTTTTGAAGCTTTGAAATTGCATCCCATGAATGATTTAATAGGTCTGATCCTACCAATAGATTGCCCAATTCCAATCCAGTGCTATACCTGGAATTGAAGATGGAGATCTAATCAATTAGAATAATTTACTGAAGACTATAAGTATAATTAATAGTGCTGATGGGCTTACAAGGACACCATTGGAGAGCAGCTTCACATGAAAACTGGGTTTCTAATTTCAGCTCTTGTCAACAACGCGTGGGAATAAGTTAACTAATTCCTCAATTTACATGGCCATAATTCTATTCAAAAAACCTACGAATTACTTTAATATATGTCTTATAATATTAATCTCGTATATAATTATTCAAAACCATCAAAGAATATGATTTTCTTTTTTATCATTTTAGGAGCAAAGTGTAAGACGATGTTAGAAATATTAAATAACGTGATAGAATCATTAACAATAACATGATAACTACAAAATTATGCACAATAAATACGAGGTTGATAGCTAGCTCACTTAATAAAATATCTGTCTTTTACATTGAGGCATGGAGGATAACTTCATCATGTTCTTTTCCTTTAAAAAAGAAAGAAAAATATATATGATAAATATACAATTATTCACATTTGGAATATTGTTTTTTTCTAGTAGTTTTTATTCTTGACGAATTTATTCTTATGTTATCAAGTTATTCTTATGTTAGTGGACTTGTGTCAACCATTCAAGAGTTGCTACCCAAGTGTGAACACAGAATGTAACACTTGGTTAAATTAATGTCATGAATGGAGAGGCGAGGAAATAGAAGAAAGACAATTTTACCCCTACATTAGTAGCACCTAGTAAGCTCTATCGTTTTTGGGTTTGAGCTCTGGATATGAAGTCGTGTTTGTTAGGGAGCATTTTACCTCAATGTGAAATTTTTCAGTGCGAATTTAAAGCTAATCGGGTTCGATGCAGATACCGAATACCGAATGGAAAAAAAAACAAAAAAGTAAGCTCTATGACTATCTCTGATTTCACCAATGTCAATAGAAAAAAGGCCAACATGTCCCTCAGATTTTTAACATTCTTTTATTTATTTATTTTAATGTCCTTACTTTCTTAGTCAAGTTCTCGCATAATTATATATGAGTTATTTCACATTTAATGCAAAATGTTTCTCACCATTCTTTTTGTTAAAGAAATTTATATAGGATGCTAAAAGAAACATGGGAAAAAAAAAAGTAGTAGAATTGTTGTTCATGCGTAAACAAGTCGACTTCACAACTCTCTCTTTGGTCTGTGACTGATTAGTCAATACGAATTTTTTGTAGGAAACTCCTTAACACTCTTTTACTTGCTAGTCTCGTTTTACATAATCTATAATAATAAAAGCAAAACCATATTCAGGTTAAGATACTTGCATGCACTAGAAGTGTGCATACTTAGATGAAAGGAAGATTAGGTCAAGCATTACCTTTTGACTAGTAGAATAGAGAATGGTAGATGAGAGCATTATATATTTAGTAACTTAATACCTATATATATATATATATATAGTTCCAGCTCAAGATTGAAAGTAAACTAAAGCTGTTCCAACATTGTGATTGTTAGTATAAGGGATTTGGTTAGGTTTGGTTAATCTAGCCTAAGTGAAATTATGAGACCAGGAGGACCGGGGCTAGGACCAGGACCCGGATGGGGTCCTCCTCTAGGTCTCGGAGGACCCCCAATGCCAGGACCTTGTGGCTTCTTTGGTGGTTTATGTGATTTTATAGGTTCTTGGTAAGTCATTTGGAACCAATAGTTTTCTTCTATATTTCAAAAATTTTGATGTGTTTCGAATTGTTTTTGAATCTTTGAGGAGAAAAAATAAAAATAAAATCTTTGGACTAGAAAACAATTTGGTTTTGCTTTGTTTTTATTTGGCTATTCTTCTATAAGCTTGTGTTTCTTGAATATTTAAATATTATTCACCATCAAATTATTGATGCTTAAGCTTATTGTTATTGAACTTAACTTAATGTTTTGAAATGTTTAAATTTGTACAGCCTGAGCTTCTTCTGCTGTTGCTGGCTATTACAAGACTGTTTTAAGGGCCCAATGGGCTTTTACGGGCCTCCAGGACCTTTTGGGCCGCCTCTGCCATGATCCAGTTGGTTGATCCAATAAAGAAGTATAGAAAGACATGTCACATTATGGGATGAAGGATGCCTTTATTGATTTGTTAAACTACAAATAGGATTGTTTACAAAATATATCCAATCATATCTCTTTTGTAATTGGCTTGAAAGCTTATTCCAATTTATAATATCATGATTGTTAATTAGAAAAATGTCTCTATCATATACCTTGCAATTGACTCTTAGAGTATATTTCCAACCATACAGAGTGATGTAACTAAGAACAAAGATTTCGAAACTTCGATTTACGTTTTATTTTTCCAACATATAGACTTATGAAATTACTCACACATTTAACCTTTTAATGAATAATACTTTCTTTATTTCACTTTGTGTGGCATGTTCGAGTATGAAATGCAAATTAAATAAATTTTGATGTGTATTTAGACAAAAATATTTTATTTTTTGAAATAATAATAATATTTTTAAAATAATATATTTCAATAATTAATAATTTAAAATATAGTACTTGAAAAATGATAGTCAAACAAAAAATTCTAACCTTCCAATTAGTAATAGTGTTCCATGAAATTAGTGGTGTATCTATGTGGAGCACGAGGCATGCGAACTCATGCTCCTGTCCCTATATATATATGAATGCACCTTTACAAATAAAATTGGGGGTTCTGCATCCGCCTTTACATGAAACGAAACGAATGAGTACTTTTAGCCTTTTTTCCTTTTTATGAATTACTCCTATAAAAAATGTGCAAAATAGTCTTGGTGTTATTATGGCTAGTTGTTGGCTTATAGCCCGTTTGACCAAGTTGCAAAAATCAGCTTATTTTGAGAAGTGTTTTTTTTCAAAAGTGCTTTTCTCAAAAGTACTTTTGGTGAGAAGCAGTTTATGTTTGGCTAATTAATTTGAAAAACACTTCTGAGCAGCAATTAGTGTTTGATCAATCTTTAAAAAACTGCTTCTAAGTGTATTTTTATCAAAAGTGCTTTTCTCAAAAGTACTTTTGGTGAGAAGCAGTTTATGTTTGGCTAATTAATTTGAAAAACACTTCTGAGCAGCAATTAGTGTTTGATCAATCTTTAAAAAACTGCTTCTAAGTGTATTTTTATCAAAAGTGCTTTTCAAAAAAATGCTTTTAAAGAGAAGCTACTTTTTTCTGCTTCTCCAAAACTGCTTCTGCTTCTCTCTAAAAGCATTTTTTTTCCTTTCAAAAGCTTGGCCAAACACCTTAATTTTAGAAAAAAAGTATTTTTGACCCCAAAAAAGTGCTTTTGCCTCAAAAAAAACTTGGCCAAACAAGCTATTAACCACGTGGTGACGTATGTGTTTATGCTCATCAAATTACATGCAGCAAATGACTAGTTAGCCCCAGAAGCCTTCTTCCTAGTCCCCACCCCCGACCCACACCGAACCCCCTATACCCCACTTCACAGTCCACCCCTCCCTCCCTCTCGCTGAGTGAATTCTTTTTGGGGGTTGTGGATATGTCAGTTTGAATGGATTTCTTTGGCCTTTTCTTATAATGGACACACTTTCTTCATTACGGAGTAGTAGTTTTCTTCTCTCTTTCTCCATTAAGTAGTCTTTCCTTCCAAGCCCCTCCCAATCTCTTAGATTAACTCCTCTCTATCACCTCTTTTCTCATATCTTTATGGCCATACATATTTGCTTGAATCACTTAGTCTTGGGTTTGAAACTTACACTTTTCAAGATTAAGTTTTTGAGCTAGGGGGAGCTAGCTATAATAAAGATAGTTAAATATGCAGTAAGAAAAGAAGAAAGAGATTGCTCTTCACTACTTCTCATCATTTCCATTTCCAAATTTCAAAACCATACATAAACCATCATATACCCCAAAATACCATACTTCTTCTTTTCAAATATATTGCAAAAACAAGCTAAACAAAAAACACCCTTTTCTTCTTTTTGCTGTTATATATTTTTGCATGGATAACATCTTGGTGGGTGATCAAGGCGGGAGTAGTATGTTGAGAGACTATAGGAAAGGGAATTGGACAGTACAAGAAACTATGGTACTTATAGAAGCGAAGAAAATGGACGATGAAAGGAGAAACAAAAGGCAAGGGTATATTAATGAAAGGGGAAAACCAACAGAGCTAAGATGGAAATGGGTAGAGGACTATTGTTGGAGAAATTCTTGTTTGAGGAGCCAAAATCAGTGTAATGACAAATGGGATAATCTCATGAGAGATTTCAAGAAAGTTAGAGAATATGAAAGAAGAGAGGCTGAAAAAGCAGCAGAAGGTGGAGAAGAAATTATAAGATCTTATTGGAAGATTGAGAAGAATGAAAGGAAAGAAAAAAGTTTGCCTACTAATATGTTGCCTGAGATTTATGAGGCATTAGTTGAAGTTGTGGACAGAAAAGGTCAAAGAATGTTGCCTGCTTCTTTGCCTCCTACATTGCAACAACAATCTACTCAACCTCAAATTGCAGCTTTGCCACTTCCTCCACTACCATTACCATTACCACCAACAACAGTAGTAGCACAAACAGCAGCCCATCAACTTTCTGATGTTGCTTACACTGATCAATATCCTTTTCCCACAGTAGCTACTCTTATCTCCAACTTTTCTTATTCATTACAATACACTGTAAATGGTCCTATTTAACTAGCTACTATACTATACTGTTTTAAAGTCCGTCCACTCTCATTTGCTTTGTTTGTTGCTTTCTGAACCCCATGACTTGGATATAAAGTAGTAAACTATATTATTTGACTTTGGTTGAGAGAAATAAAAGTTCTTTTGCCCCGTTACATTTTGAATCTTGATTTTAATTTGCTTGATATCCTTCTAGGTTTTCCCATAATTATTCTGACCTTTTTTTAAATCCTTTTTCCTACTTTGACAACATACTTTCATGCTATTGAGCAAAATTTCTTAGCACTTTCCAAGAACAAACTATTTTTTTTTTCTTGAAATATAGAGTAGCTTATTAATCAAGAGTGTTTTCAAGATTAATTTCATCCATTTCAGCTGTTCTTGCACTGCCTATACAAAACCATTCTTGAATGCCTCTTTAAAGTTTTTATCTTTTTTTTTCTTCTCTCTCTCTCCTCTTTGTATGTTCCCTTTTGGTAGGAGGGGAGGATAGGGACGTTTTAATGCTTGCTAGATATGGATCTTATATATTTGCATTTAATTTATTTCAATCTAACACATCAATCTAGGAAGACATTGACAGTTTTGACTGTTTCAATCACTCAAGATTCTTATAGTGATATTTCATTTATCCAATATTTACTAGTATATTAATGGAGTTTCATTTATGATATGTTTATGTATTGGAGATGTGTGATAGCTCAGATCCTGATACAAGTGATCAGCGTTCAGATTCACCAGCCAAGAAAAGAAGAATGAGTGGTGAAGGAACCAGTAGTGGCACAGCAAAAGGTAACATTAACAACTCATCACAAGAAGTTGGCTCTGCTATCTCCAAAAGTGCTGCTATTATAGCAGAAGCAATTCAGTCTTGTGAAGAGAGAGAAGAGAGAAGGCACAGAGAACTCTTAACTTTGCATGAGAGAAGGCTGCAAATTGAGGAGTCAAAAGCTGAGATCAATAGAGAAGGAATCAATGGACTTGTGGATTCTATCAACAAACTTGCTAATTCCATCCTTGCTTTGGCTGGTAACAAGAACCAATCAGCTCCCTAAATTATGTTGCTATATTGTCATTAATTCTTCTTACTCATTTGGTGAACAAGTACTTTAGGAAAATATTAAAGGTATAACAGGAGAGACTATAATTATTAAATTCCAATTTATTGTACAGTGCTGATGAATATTTGATTGTCATCATGTATCTTAGCGAGGGTTTTGGAATCAACCTCCCTGCCTTCCTAAGGTATAGGAGTAAGGTCCGCATACGCACTACCTTTCTCGTACTTCACTTGTGGGAATTCACTAATTTTATTGTTGTTATTATTGTATTTTTGCCAATCTTGTGGATAGTATTCCACCTAAATTATGCTTGTCGTTTCATACTATATATTCTCTCATATAATTCCAGGTTGAAGGGCTGATTGTAACATAATAAATTCATTGAATGCAATTTAAGCCATTTCCTTTGCACACTTCCCTTTGGTTCTCACAATCTCTAATTTTTGCAAGACAATTACTTTTTTTGGTTTAAAAAATAATTTATCTTTGGTTCACTAATCAAGAGTGTGGGAGGTAGCATATATCCACTCGAATAGTCGAAATGTGTACAATCAAACTGATAGAAAAATAAATAGGTGAAGCCACCAGTTTAGTGAGAGCCATGAATAGATTTATAGGGTAGTTTATGGGGGCACATAAACTCATTCTTTTAGCCAAACTAGATATATTATGTATGTATTTGTCGTAGGACACGACAAATTGCAAAAGGGGTGAATAAATATACTACTACTAATTGAGATGAATTGTCCCAAGAGCTACTGTGCTTACTGGTTTTTGTACACAAGTTGTGTTATTTTCTACACCTCTCAGAAATGTGAGAAAAAAAATAGAGCACTGGGAAAGACTGACTAAAAAAGTTCTGAGCAAACATGTGTAGGGCATGGCAAAAGGACTGGTCAAAGGTACGTTCCAGTCAATGATCTCTGGTATGGTCTTGACTAGCATCGCAAAATGGCCATTTATGTGCTATTATTGGTGTCAGTCTTTGTGAAAGGCTGTAGGTGATGGAAAGGTTGGACTTTCCCTTTCCCATCACAGGACTGAAAGAGTTATTATTGGCTATATGTGTAAGCCTTTTTGAACTTTTCTGACATAAAGCATACACTTTATTTTATCTTTTTCTTCTTTCCTTTAGGGAGACATTAAAAAGAGCTGCAATGTGTTATTATTCCAGCATTTTTTTCTTCATTTGTTAGGGACTGAGTATCACTTTATCTAACCATTTCTCTAAATATAAATAATTACTTCTATAAGTTACAGTATTCTAACAATTGTAAAATAATAAATATAAGTTAACATGATAGAGAAAACAGTATGATATCATAATTATAACTTATAGTGTCCGGAACCAAAACGTGATTCTTTTGGACTCAAACAATAAAAATATATGAAAAAAAAACTTAGTGACCAAAATATATATAGTATTTTTTTAAAAAACGCTATACTTTAACGGCCGTTTGGTCAGTTAAATATAGTGTTTTTCAAAAAAAAGAAGAAGCTATATTTATAGCGTTCTTTACTAAAACACTATTCATATTAAGTGGGCCCACAAATAATTCTTCTTTGCTTAATTGACATAACAATAATTCAACTGGGTATAGCGAATAAGCTAGGACGCTATAACTCAAATAAGTGAATCCCCGGACTAATATTTGCCTTATTTATAGAGGTGAAGGATTTTGTAACAATCCATTCATAAATATTTTCAAGTCTTCTGAAATTTTTCTTTGATAAGTTGTTTTGCATTTTGTCATAATGTCTAAGAGCGAAGAATTAAAGTTTTATTATATGGGGGGGGGGGAGGTTGTGGTGGCGAATAACTTAGTAAGCTATAGTTTATCTCCACAGTCTCATGTTAAGTTGCCACTTACAATGGAATACGATAACAAACGTTCGGTGAATCTTAAAATAACCGAAAGATATTCGTATTCTGTGACTCCGCAAGGGGTTGCTTGTTATGGTGAGTTTAACATTGAAGATGAAACTCTAAGAGATTTTTTGGGGACTCCGGATGAATACTGGGAATTTATTGTGATAAAACTGTTGGAAATGTACGTCAAGGCTGAAGACGTTTGCAATAATGAGGTTGCGCAAAGTAGGAAAATCCCTCAATCATCGGGTGGTTATTTTGGAGCAGTTTTAGCCGAACAGGTTCCGACTGAAAGATTTTGGCCGGATCTAAACTTATCTCCACGAGCGAATGAGGAGCGAGGAAATAATTTCTCCTCTAGTATACATAATCCACAAACCGAGTAGTAAACTTCAATTTTTTTTTGTGTTACAATGTATATTTTTGTGTATTGTATTTGTATTAACACTCATATATTCCACAGGGGGTACCGACCATATATGAATTTTACAAGTTATGAACCAACGGCCAGTTGGAATATGCCTAGTTTTGGTGTGTTGGGTCATGGTAGTCCATTCGGGAGTGAGCATCAACAAGATAATGTGCATCATGGGATATCAACACATTATGATTTGTAAGTGAATATATAAAGTTATATGTATTATTTTGACCAATTTTAGTAACTCATTATTTCTTTTGGTTGTGCAGTGAAAATGAGCAACTTGATGGTCCTGTCCTTACTCAATTGCTCGAAGACGGCGTATTTACTCAGGATCTGGCAGATGCGCAGATTCAGGAAGAGAATAGTGATTGTGAAAACTATGCCAATGAGTTTAGAGATGACACAACCTTCCCTGACGAGGGTGATAAGGAGGAGGAAGAGAATGTCCAACCTGATTTGACGAGGGAGCATGCTCCACCTCCCGTTAGACCAAGAATATGCGAGTCCCATGTGCCGTTTCATTCAAGGCATATTCCCGACATTGATCATTTGCCAAGTATGCCAGATGTGGATGCCCTCACAAGGGATATTGACGAAATTCGGACAACAATATGGGATGAATCTAGACCAACGGTGGTGTCAAAGGGCATGCTTTTTCCTTATAAGGGGCACCTAATCAGGGTAGTGAAAATGTACTGCGTAAAAGAGTGCCGTGAGATAATGGTATGGGAGTCATCTTCGGATGTATACAAGGCTGTTTGCTGTGTATGGTTTACGGGTTGTAATTGGATGCTCCGTGCGATAAAGAAGAAAATAAATATGTGGAAAGTGGGTAAATACATTGACACCTATAATTGTGAAATGGACACATTCAGTGTGAATTACTTCAACGTAGATGTTGACTTGATTTCTCTTGTCTTGATTCCACACATTGAAGTGTCCATAAGGTACAAGATCAAAAAGTGTATTACACCTGTCCACTAGGAATATGAGTGTACCATTACCAAAAGAAAGACATATCTAGGGCACAAACGTGCGTTTGAAATTGTTTATGGTGATTGGGATAAATCATTTGCATCTCTACCCAGGTACATGGCCGCATTGCAACACTTTAACTCCGGGACTGTTGTTGAATGGAAGCTTGAGCGGAGTGTGTGAATACCAGAATATATATTCAGATACGTGTTCTGGGCATTTAAACCAGCAATTGATGGTTCTGTGCATTGTCGGCCAGTAATATCCATAGACAGTACTCATGTATATGGAAAATATGATATTAAGGTGATGATCGCCATTGCAGTAGATGCTAATGGACAAATATTTCCCCTAGCTTTTGCCATCTGTGCCAATGAAAGCCAAGAGTCGTGGACGCTATTTTTGAACCACTTGAAGGAGCACGTTGTCAAACAACGTTAAGGTATTTGTCTAATATCTAATCGGTATGGTGGTATTTTATGGTGGTATTTGTCTAATATCTAATCGGCATGGTGGTATATTAAGTTATGTACAACATTTGCCTGAATGGCAGGAATCGTATGCATACCACCATTACTGTGTGAGGCACCTTAAGGCCAATTTCCGGAAGAAATATCTCAACAAGGACTTGCATAATTTAATGTGGATGGCTGCAAATGATCATTAGGAGTGCAAATTCAGGAGGCGCATGGAATCGATCAGGCGGTAAAATGAAAGAGCCTATCATTGGTTGATGCAACATGACCTTGATAAGTGGACATTGCTGCGGATGGTGGCAGACGATGGAGATCCCTGACTACAAATATGTTAGAGTCTTTCAATGGGTTATTGAAGTCTGCACGTGGATTGTCTGTCACTGCCATAGTGCATATGTCATTCAAACAGATGGCGGAGATGTTTATTGAAAGGCATAGAGGTGCATCAAAATTGATGGAGAGGGGTGTTAAATTTATGCCAAATCCAATGAAAAGATTTGAGAAATACAGGAGGCGAGCATATTGGCATTCATTTTTATAGTATTGCAACGAGCGAAACATTTTTGAAGTTCCATTTTCCCCAAGAAAACAACATACAGGTTTAGGGCCAACCTACTATGTTGATAAGTGATGTTTTAAGTGTCAATACCACACAAGAGGGGGGGGGGTGATTTGTGTGGTACTCAATTTTTGCTTAACTAAACTATAGAAGGACCTGGTTCTTCTAGGTGTTCCAACTACTACTATTTGCGGAATAATAAATATAGAAAATAAAGAACACAAAGATTTTTACGTGGAAAACACCTTGCTCAAAAGGTGAAAAAACCACGACCTACTACTCAGTAGGATTTTCCCAAACTTCCACTAAAATCACTGAGCCAAAACAGCATTTACAAAACTCTTTGTAAACCTAAGGATTAACTCTAATCCCGTTGTGGAACACAACCTCAACTGTTGCGACAACTTCAGATTAACTCTAACTTGAACACTCTAGGTACCTAATACAATTGTTTCTATGAAAGCTGAAAGGTACAATGTAAAATCACCTACTACAATTGAACTAGAATAAAAGATAGACACATGGAACTAGTTCTTCTATCTCGTTCGAGTAGCTTCAAGATTGCACACTCAAATCACACATAAATTGCTTGTAAAATTGCCTTGCTCTTTTGCTCTCAATTTAAGTTTAACTTCTGCTTATGTGCATTACCTGTAAAAGAGAACAACATTTACATTTAATAAGTTAGTAATCAGAGTTTGACTGGGATTCAATTGCTACTCTTCTATCATAGAAGAGTTCATGATGATCTCAAACTCTAACACTATCTAATTCCTAAATTGTGTTCTCTTTATGTAAGGAGTCTTTTCCTCCTTATCCAATATGCAATCTTTTCGATCAGATCAGGAGATATTGCTTCTTGATCAGTTAGATTTATCTCCTTCACGTGCATCCCACATGTATAGATTGATCATGACTGTGCTTCACAAGATGGACCTGGTCCATGTCTGAGTTCTTTTGTAAATATT